TAAAAAAAAAAAAAAAAAAAAAGGTGACCTAGAAAATTTTTTTTCTTTTGACAGGGTCTTATTCTGTCACCCAGGCTACAGTATAGTGGTGCAATCATAGCTCATTGCAGCCTCAAAACTCTGGCCTCAAGTGATTCTCCCTTCTCTGCCTCCCAAGTAGCTGAGACTACAGGCACATGCCACCACACCCAGCTAATTTTATTTTCAGTTTTTCTGGAAACAGGTTCTCACTATGTTGGCCAGGCTGGTCTTAAATTCCTGGCCTCCCATCTTTTCCTCCTAAAGTGCTAACATTACAAATGTGAGCCAGCCTACCTGGCTGCTTAGGAGATTTTTAAGGAATTGTTTTAATTTTGTGAACCAGATGACCTGTATTAAATTTCAAGTGCATTCAGTATTTTTAACAGTACAACATTACATTTCCTTGTAGACTTTTGTCCTGAATTCCAAGCAGGTTTTTGTCTGCTTTTGTTTTAAGGTTTCAGAGAGTATGCAGTATTCTTTCAAACCTTGCATGAGAGTAGAAGTGGTTGACAAGAGGCATTTGTGTCGAACACGAGTGGCAGTTGTGGAAAGTGTAATTGGAGGCCGATTAAGACTGGTATATGAAGAGAGTGAAGACAGAACAGATGACTTCTGGTGCCATATGCACAGTCCGTTAATCCATCATATCGGGTGGTCTCGAAGCATAGGCCATCGATTCAAAAGATCTGGTAAGCACCTGTCACAAGAACTGCTGTTGAAAGTTTGAGGCTAACAAACACTACTTGGTTGTTTTACTCTACAGAATTGCATAAATCAAAAATAGCATTCTAGTTTGGGCTGCTTATTCTACCTTAATTAGTGAAGGTTCACACCATGTCAGTGTCCTAATTAATTCCTTTATATTCCTTCCACCTGTTCTCATTTTTAAAATAATGCACTTTTGGTCACAATTACAATTGTGTTCTTACTCTGATTCAGCCCAAAAGGTAGCTTTTCCTTTTTCATTCAATTTTAATCAAAATAGCAAGACTAAATGTGGTTAGACTTAATACTAAACACATTAAAACATGCTTCTAAATGAGCATTCTAATTGGCTGAATGTATTTAATAGCATATATGCACATGTACCCTGACGAGAGAGAAAACTATTAAAGAATATTACTCACCATAAATGTAGAAGGCATGTCTTTTTGCCATGTTTTATATAATATTACATACCTTGTGAGTTTGAAGCCTTCAAAGAAACGTGGTTTTTGGTCTTCTCACAAATGCTGACAGATTAGTGTGTAACTTTTCCTTGTAGATATTACAAAGAAACAGGATGGACATTTTGATACACCACCACATTTATTTGCTAAGGTAAGAAGTTTTTATAAGAACCCTCATTTGTAAATTAGGTTTGAAAGAGGGTTGTGGGTTTTTTCCTAAAATTATGGAAATCACAATGACAGATGTTCACCTAAACGAATTAAGACCTTGTAATCCATAGGAGTCACAACTCTTTATTATAATTATTCTTAAATTCTATTTGTCTGAATTCTCTCTAAACCTTAATGGAAATTTGAATTATAATACTAGGTAGGTAGGAGAAGGCACCTGGTAAATCTTTTCACATTGATAAAATTTTAATTATTAGAATGGCAGTATTTATAACAGTAGATGTGCTTTCATATAATTCTTTAGGTAAAAGAAGTAGACCAGAGTGGGGAATGGTTCAAGGAAGGAATGAAATTGGAAGCTATAGACCCATTAAATCTTTCTACGATATGTGTCGCAACCATTAGAAAGGTAAGAGAATAGATTTTAAAATATAGAAATGCAATTACTGGTACTGGGCGTAAACTAATAGGAGAAGGTGGCCCCTAGCATATTCATTTTGACATAAAATGTGCATATATCTGGATCGTCACTGGAGAGAAGGTTACTAGGAATTTCAAAATAAATTTTAATTCTCTTATCAGATTTTTTTATGTAGTTTGTTGTCAAGATTAATATTTTGAGTTTACTGTCTTCATTTATGGAAGTATATCCTAAGTTAGAGGAAAAATACTTAAAGTTACTTCCTGGTCAACCACAGAATTGTAACAAGACCAAGTTTATCTTCAGTTTCCTGTGTTTCCTTTTTAGGCCATTTTCTTCCTCTTGGTAATACTTTCTTTTTCTTTCTTTTCCCTCCCATCTAAAGCTGCTCTTACAAAAAAACCTAGAAGAATGGTTCTCAATTCTAAGCATCAGTTCTCTGGAAACTTTTTTAAAATGCAGATGACCAGACTCCATTTGTTCTGATTTAATTAGGGGTGGGGCCCTAACATTGGCTTTTTTTTTTTTCTTTTTGGTGTGGTCTCACTCTGTTGCCCAGGATGAAGGGCAGTGGCAATATATGTCACTGCAGTCCCTATCTCTTGGGCTTAAGGGGTCCTCAGCATCTCTAGTAACTGGGCATGAGCTGCCACATCTGGCTAATGTTGGCAGTTTTTTAAAGGCCTCAGGTGATTCTCATGTACAGTCATGGTTAAAAACTGCTGATCCAGAACTGCTTACATAAATATGTACCTTAAATTGTGATTTGCATTTCAACGTAGTTTATAACTTTAAGCCAAAAGAATTAAAAACACTTAAGATGGTTGCCATGTCCCATGGTCACACAGCTAAATAAGACTGGCTCCAAAGCCTGCTTTTCCTCTTTACCTGACCAGTGATCAGAACCACCTGATAAGATTTAAAAACAAAGACTACCTTGATGAACTTCTTACCTTACTCAGAATCACAAAAATGCTACCCAGAAATCTGTATTGTTTTTAAAAAGCATAAGAAAAGAAAAGTTCTTTAAGTGATTCTGACAATCAGCCAGATTTCAGAAACATTGCCTTTGTACCATAATGTGTTCTGTGAAATGAAAATGAAGAGTCCTTGCCGGGCACTGTGGCTCATGCCTGTAATCCCAGCACTTTGGGAGGCTGAGACAGGAGGATCATTTGAGACCAAGAGTTCAAGACCAGCCTGGGCAACTTGGCGAGACCTCATCTTTAGAAAAATAGAAAAATTAGCCAGCCTTGGTGGTTCATGCCTATTGTCCCAGCTACCTGGGAGACTGAGACTGGAGGATTGCTTAAGCTTAGGAGTTTGAGGCTGTGGTGAACTATGATGGTGCCACTCTACTCCAGCCTGGGCAATAGAGGGGAGACCCTGACTCAAAAAAAAAAAAAAAAGAGGGTGGGTTCAGTGGCTTAGCCTGTAATTCCAGCACTTGGGTAGGCCAAGGCAAGTAGATTGTCTGAGCCCACAGGTTCTAGACCAGCCCAGGCAACTTGGCAAGACCTCGTCTCTACAATAAGTCAAAAATTAGCTGGACGTGGTAGCACACACCTGTAGTTCTAGCTACTTGGGAGGCTGAGGCGGAAGATTGCCTAAGTCCAGCAGGTCAACACTGGGGTGTCAGCCTGGGAGACAGAGTGAGACTCTAACTCAAAAATAAAATAAAATAAAATGAGAAATGTCCAGTGAGTAGAATATCAAGCATCATTCAGAAAATAATACTCTCTGTGGTAGATTTGATTGGATCTAAAAAGCTTAGCCTTGTAAAACTAAGGTAAAATTTCTAAAATATAAGTTTAATACATGATAATATAACTTAAGAAGGATACAAGCTTCTTTTGGAATGCAAAGAAAGATAAGATCACATCTTTTTTAAGGAGATAGCTTTACAGAAGAGGAGCATTTGAAAACCACATCTTAAAAGGTGGGAAAATGGCCCAGCAGAAATGCAGGAAGAGAGGATGCCAAGGGAGAGAGAAAATGTGCATGAAAGCACAATGATGGGAAAGTGCAAGACACATTTAGTGCACATACATGCACATCCGAACAGTTGCACTGGATATTCTGGTTAAGATTTTTGTTTATAAGGACCAGAAACTCTTCAAGTTAACTTCAGCAGAGTTATTCTAAGGACATAGTGGGCAGTCTTATGGACTCCAAAGAAACAAGGATGAGAACTAGCAAGGCACAGGCCAGTATGATTATCCCCACCCTCAGAAGCCCCTTTGTCCATCTCTGTCCTGCCCTGAGTTGCAGCTACTTTTCTTTCACTTTTTCTCTACTGGTCTCGTACTCAGTCAATCCATACACGGAGGCCCCTGACCCTGTTTTGTATCACAGCCGTTCAGTTCCAGCTCCTACCCATGACTTGAAGATAGTCTCTGTGTCTGTTCATTCTAATTATTGAGAGTGTCTATGTGGCTAAGCCCAACCTTTTGGCTTGTTTTCCTGCATGATACATGCAAGCCGCTGGTCCCATTGGCTGTATTTAGAAGAATGGAAAGTGGGATGGTTCTGTCCAGAGGTCTTAGAGCTGTTGAGCTTGAACAGAAAGTTATTGTACATGTCTAATATGTAGAAATAACTAGGAGAAAGGCACTTGGGGACAGAAACCACAAGAGAATGGAACCGGGTAGTACAAGCTTTAAGTGATAGTCAGGCTGTCGAGAGTTTTCTGGTAGACAGGATAAGTAGGTGAAGGTTCTGACATGAATAGAGGTCATACTAAAGGAAAATTTAACTGTGGAAGAGGGAAAGTGTCCATAGAGGGTGGCTGAAAGTAGTAATGTCAAACAAAATACCAAGTCAAGAAAAAGGGTAAGGCAGAGTGAGATGGAGTTGTGAATGTGATTATTGACAAACCTCTAAAAGAGTAAGAGAGGAGTTGTTGCTTTGATGCTGTGTACTAACCCAGAGAATATGTTCAACATGCAGGTTTTACCTACTAGACACTGGAAGGAGGCAAACTCACGATAAAACTTTAGGAACCAGTGGTGTCAGCCACTGATCATTATAGCACTGGGTGTGAGGGAGGTCATCAAAACAAAGAAAATAGCTAAAATCAGAGACTTAAGGGTTAGCAGTAAAAGGGCAACCACCAAAGGAAATACAGACAGAAGGATCAGAGAAGTGAAAAGACTGAGCAGTAGAACCTCATGCGATGAGAGTCTGAAGAAAAATGTTTCAGAAAGTTAAGAGTTACCAATAAGAATCAGATGTTACAGTGAGGCTGAAGTTTAATCCAAGCCACTGAATTGGGCAAACTAGGAGTTTATTCTTGAATTTAGCAGTTTACATAAGGACAGAAATCAGACTGCAAAGAGATACAAAGTGTGTAACTCAAATTGAGTCTCTGGGTGAATAGGGTTTATTTTATGATTTTTGTACCTTTTCTGTAACTTTGAACCTATTTCAGGATAAACATATTTGGTTTTGGGGTCAGGGCTTCACTTTGTTACCCAGGCTAGAGTGCAGTGGCATGATCATGGCTCACCACAGCCTCAACCTTCTGGGCTCAAGAGATCTCCTGTGTCAGTGTCCTGAGTGGTTGGGACTATAGGTACATGCCAGCCACCCAGCTAAGTTTTGTTGTTGTTTTTCTGTGAGATGAGGTCTCACTATGTTGCTCAGGCTGGTCTCAAACTCCTGGCCTCAAGCGATCCTCCAAAGTGCTGGGATTACAAATATTTTTAATATGGAAATTGGGAAACAGAGTATAGGAGATGGTGTTTTTGCAGCAAAATTCCAGTGGTATAATAGGTAAGATGGAGAAGTTTGTCTTCATTTTTAAAAGTGCAGGGAGAGCAACTTGTTACAACAGTCTGGGGCATGAAGAAAGTCATAAGGGGATGCTTATGTGGGTGGTCTTAGTTGTGCCATAGAGGAAAATGATTGTCATAAGAGAGGTGAAGTTGGAACTTGAAGAAGGTGGAAAAGGTTTGGAAAAACTCCTCTATGTGATGAGTCAAAAGTAAAGAAGTAAAAGTGTTCCTGAGTAGAATTTAAAGCCTAGCTGAGACTAGACTGGTATATGATAAGAGCACTCAGCCCAGTGTCCTTATACCACAGCAGCAGGCAGCTCTAGCTGTTGGCAAAGACACTGCTTTTCCCAGACCTCAGAGATCACCTCTGTGTAATCCTGCTTTTTTTCTGGCACTCACTAGAATTTACATAGGTTTTTCATTATAACTTTTATTATTTAACATAATTCAGTAGAGAAGTAGTTTTCCTTTTTTTTTTTTTTTTTTTAATTGAGTCGGAGTCTTACTCTGTAGCCCAGGCTGGAGTACAGAGCACGCTCACGGCCACCACAGCCTCGTCCTACTGGGCTCAGGCGATCCTTCTGCCTCAGCCTTTCAAGTAACTGGAAGTACAGGCACGCGCCACCACGCCTGGCTAATTTTTTTATTTATTGTAGAGATGAGGTCACGCCAAGTTGCCCACTCTAGGCAAATCCCCTCACCTCGGCCTCTCAAAGTGCTGGGATTATAGGTGTGAGCCACCACGCTCAGCCTAATTTTCACTTTTAAGAGACCTTTATGTAATAGATTTTCCTTTCTTTAGATTGTCACTTAATTTAAGTATATTTTTATAATAGTGCTATCTGACTTCAAGTACTTGGGATTCTTTCCATTTGAAAGGTGCTGGCTGAAGGATTCCTGATGATTGGGATCGATGGCTCAGAAGCAGCAGATGGATCTGACTGGTTCTGTTATCATGCAACCTCTCCTTCTATTTTCCCTGTCGGTTTCTGTGAAATTAACATGATTGAACTGACTCCACCCAGAGGTACTTCAACCTAATTTTAAAAACCAGATTTGAATCCTTGCTTTCTTCTTACATGGTACCTGTTTACTACATTTAACATAGCTCTAGAATTTCTTGCTATGTGAATACATACATAATGTGTGTGTATATATATATAGATAAACATGCATACATACAAGAGCTATGGGGTGGGTGCTCAAAGAACATAAAGCACTGTATTCTAGCTAACTTTACTAAATTATGTTAGTATAAAACTGCCTGAGCACCTGTGCATTCTATAATATGAATTGTTACTCTGTTATACTGTTGAGACAGTAATACAGGCATAACAGCCTTTATACAAAATCTTTTTTTTTTTTTTAACGGGTGCTTTAGCCTTTGAGGGAGAGAAGTTTATATCTTCTAGATTACCACTTGCCCTTTTTTTAAAGGAGTTTTGTCTTCCTTTAACTCTTGGGGTTTAACTGATGATTTTCCAATTTCAACATTTGAGCATTGGGTTTTTTCCAAGAAAAGAAGGAAGAAAAACCAAAACAGAATTCTAAATAGTATTTGCTCCAAAGTGTCACATGCTAGACTATTCTAAAGCTTGGGATTGGAAAAGTGAAGGCCTGCCGGGCTCAGTGGCTCAGCCTGTAATCCCGCGCCTTTGAGAGGCTGAAGTGAGTGGATTGCCTGAGCCCGCGGGTTCGAGACCCGCCTGGGCAACGAGACCTCATCTCTACAATAAATCAAAAAATCAACTGGGTGTGGTAGCGCATGCCTGTAATTCCAGCTACTTGGAAGGCTGAGGCGGAAGGATCGCCGGAGCCCAGCAAGTTGAGGCTGCGGTGGCCGGGAGCGGCCACTGCACTCCAGTCTGGGCCACAGAGTGAGACTCCAACTCAAAAAAAAAAAAGAAAAAGTGAAGGCCTACCCTTGTAGTGAACAGAAGAGAGTCACATTGCGTGAGGGTAAGTAGACACACCAGAGTGTCTAGAAAGTGGGGAATGCTGGACCACATAGAGGAGTTGTTGCACTCAACAGTATTAGCTTGAGTTAAAAGTTGATCATATAATCTTGAAATTTTGTGTACCTTGTACCTGCATTTTAATATTATGTTAACTTTAAATGAACTGCCACTTAAACCAGTTATATTTTTTAGGTTACACAAAACTTCCTTTTAAATGGTTTGACTACCTCAGGGAAACTGGCTCCATTGCAGCACCAGTAAAACTATTTAATAAGGTAAATTTAAATGGCAGCATAATCGTTATGTGGGGGTTTTTTGATGCCTCACAGTTGCAAGTCATTGTTGATCAAAATATTTTTGACTTATTAGAACTTTTTCATGGAGATTAATATAAGCAGATGTACAGTAATAAAACAATATATATATTTTTTACTTAGAAATCTAATCTTGGACCGGGCACAGTGGCTCACACCTATAATCCCAGCACTTTGGGAGGCCAAAGTGAGAGGATTGCCTGAGCCCACAGGTTCAAGATCAGCCTGGGCAACTTGGTGAGACCTCATCTCTACAATAAAAAAAAAAAAATTAGCCAGGTGTGGTGGCATGTGCTTGTAGTTCCGTCTACTTGGAAGGCTGAGGCAGGAGGATCACCTGAGCCCAGCAGGTTGAGGCTGCAGTGGCTGTGAGTGTGCCACTGCCCTCCAGCCTGGGCAACAGAGTGAGACTCAAAAAACAAAAAAAATCTAGTTTCCAAACTAGGTTTCATTTTTAATCTGAGTGAATGGAAATGAATGCCTTTTCTGACTAGTTCTTAAATGCTTCACCTTCATACTACATGTAAATAGTTAAGGGATTATTTGGAATTTATGGTTTAAATTATGTCATTTGACTACATTGCTTCTATGTTTTATGATGGTAGAGCTGTGCATTCTTCCCTATTTACAATATTAATGTCTTGTTTCTCCACATCAGGATGTTCCAAATCATGGATTTCGTGTAGGAATGAAATTAGAAGCAGTGGATCTCATGGAGCCACGGTTAATATGTGTGGCCACAGTAACTCGAATCATCCATCGTCTCTTGAGGATACATTTTGATGGATGGGAAGAAGAGTATGATCAATGGGTTGACTGTGAGTCCCCTGACCTCTATCCTGTAGGCTGGTGTCAATTAACTGGATATCAACTACAGCCTCCAGCATCACAGTGTAAGTTGGTATACAGAAAAGGTGTCCTTTTGTAAAAATCAGCAATTCTTCAGAGGACTGTCTCACATAAGTCATCTTGTGAGCTCACAGGACGAGAATATACCTAAGTCTGATTGGTTTCCAGGTAAGACATTAAGACACAGCAACAGTATCACAGAATCAGACATGTGTATATGGCAGTGTGAACTCATTAGTCAGTTACATAATGACTAGAAACACAACAGTCACAAAGTAAACCAAAATAACAACACTTGTTTTAGTAAGTTAAAAACTACAAACTAAAAACTGATTGGTATATAATAAGTGCTGTTGAGTGAATAGTGGAATCTGTCTGGTACTGAAGTGGTGGTTTTGTAGGAATAAGTATCTTTATTTTCAAAGCATCATGTACTTTTATAAGTGTAATGGTCTTAGTAAAGATAGTTCATCTAGATTGTATCTAGAGTTGCAAGCAATTATCTGGTACCAATTTTCCCTTTTATTTTTCAGCATCAAGAGAAAGCCAATCAGTGTCATCAAAACAGAAGAAAAAGGCTAAGTCCCAGCAATACAAAGGACATAAGAAAAGTGGGTCACCACATGGTGTTCACATACATTTTCTAATTGTTAACCAATTGGGGTCACAGTGTGCGGGCACAGAAAATGATATCTCTTGTGAGAACTGCTGATGTGCATTATGTATTATGCTTAAAGGTGCAGTATGCCATAAAAGGCAAACCTTTTCAGTAACAGGAAACACCTATGCTTTAATTAACAGGAAAAATAATTACCATGGTATTTAAAGCATACATGGTAAAGAGGAGAGCTAGCTGGGCACAGTGGCTCACGCCTGTAATCCCAACACTTTGGGAGGGCAAGGTGAGAGGATTGCGTGAGCCCGCTGATTCGAGACCAGCCTGGGCAACATGGCAAGACCTCATCTCTACAATAAAATCAAAAAATTAGCTGGTCTTGGTGGTGCATGCCTGCAGTTCCAACTACTTGGAAGACTGAGGCGGAAGGATCGCCTGAGCCCAGCAGGGTGAGGCTGCAGTGGCCGTGAGCGTGCTACTACACTCCAGCCTGGGTGACAGAGTGAGACTCCAACTCAGAAAAAAAATGAAAAAGAGTAAAGCCTATGAATGAATCCTGAAATATTTAAACCAAACCTACTAAAACGTAATCTTTTTTCAAACTTTTTATTTTAAATAAAAGCAGTGCTTGATGCTATAAACTTGAAGCCTAGTAAATCCATCCTCTTTTTTGAGTTGGAGTCTCACTGTATCACCCAGGCTGGATGGAGTGCAGTGGCACAGTCACCATAGCCTTGACCTCCTGAGCCCAGGCAATCGATCCTTTCGCCTCAGGCTTCCCAGCAGCTGGGACTCCAGGTGTGTGCTACCACAGCCAGCTAATTTTTTTGATTTTTTTGTAGAGACAGGGTCTTTCTATATTGCCCAAGCTGTTTTTAAACTCCTGGACTCAAGCAATCCTCCCACCTTACTGCACTCCGCCTAAACCCATCATTCTTTTAAAGCAAAACTCTCTTTCTGGAATGATAATTGTAGGAAATCCAGATTGATGGCTGACAAAGTCAGGCTTAAGCAAATTTTCTTAAATATGCTTTCTATGCTGTATTTTATCTAACAGTGAATGATTATTGGCTTTAATAGCCAAAGTAATACATGTTTTTTTGTTGTTTTTTGGGGTTTTTTTTTGAGGTGGAGTCTCACTCTGTCACCCAGACTGGAGTGCAGTGGCCACTCCTGGCCACCGCAGCCTTGACCTGCTGGGCTCTGACGCTCCTTCCACCTCAGCCTTCCAAGTAGCTGGAACTACAGGCGCGCACTACCATGCCCGGCTAATTTTTGATTTACTGTGGAGATGAGTTCTCGCCATGTTGCCCAGACTGGTCTCGAACCTGCAGGCTCAGGCAACTCACTCACCTCAGCCTCCCAAAGCATGGGATTACAGGCTGAGCCACCGAGCCCGGCTATAATATATGTTGATAGCTGCATTTGATTCTTTTAAAATCTTACTTCCCCACCATAGAAAGCCACAGGTTTCTGTCTTCATGAAACTTGTCATGGAACATTTCACTCTGAGATAAGGTTATTTATGTTTATTTAAAGATATTTTTTAAATTAAAAGGTGCACTTGAGGATTAAAACTGAAACAGATTTCTCCAGCAGACTTGCCAAATATTTTCAGATACTATATTCAAATAAGTGCTAATCTGTCTCATTAACCGTCCCAGAGACTGAAGCAGAAAGAACCAAATATATCCTGTTCTTACCTTTCTGATTACAATTGTTTGTTTAGTTTTTTGGGGTTTTTTTTTTTTAAGTGGAGAACTGAAAAACTTATACTGGCCACTATAGTAGTGTCGCTTTGAAAAACAAGTATCTCAGCACAAAACCCAAGTCAGTCTCACACTAGTAACCTACAGGCCTGTCTCTTGCCCTCTCTTTTAAAGACCTAAGCCTCCCCCAGATCCAGAGTTATTTTGCCCGCCAGCTGCTTACAACATCTGATACTCACCTAAAAGAACTGTAGAGAGCATTGTCAAACCAATCAATCAAAATGAGTTCCCATTCATCAGAAAGTAATTGGAAGGCATTCACATAGGAGCAATCTTTGTCAGTGGACTGACAGGTGTGATCATTAAGCTTTCTGTAAAGTGAGTAACACAGGCTGCTTTCTCCTGTCTTTTTACTTTCTGTTGGACAAGACTAAGATTTCAGAATTTTCTTTCCAAGATGTCAAATTAAGAATGGTTTTTGACCAGGCACAATGGCTCACACTTGTAATCCCAGCAGTTTGGGAGGCGGAGGCGAGAGGATTGCCTGAGTCCAGGGGTTCAAGACCAGCCTAGGCAACTTGGTGAGACCTCCTTTCTACAATAAAATTTAAAAATGAGCCAGATATGGTGGTACATGCCTGTGGTTCCAACTACTTGGAAGGCTGAGGCGGAAAGATCACCTGAGCCCAGCAGGTGATGCTGCAGTGGCTGTGAGCATGCCACTGCACTCCAGCCTATGCAACAGAGTAAGATTCCAGTTCAAAAAAAAAAAAAGATTTTTATTACTCAGTGGCTATATGACGTATGCTATATGAGTTTTGTATACATGATTCACTTGCCTCCTTCAATGTGAAGGGTTTGGTTCTGGTTTATGAGGTTTAAATTATTTTTAATTAATGGACTGGGAACATGGGAAGAAATATGTAATTAATAAAGTAATAATATCAGTACCCTTTTTTATTGTTATTTATTATCAGATTTCTGGATTAGCTGGAAAAATGAATTTTGGTCCACATGTAGCATATTCTTTAACTGTAGCATATGAATAGTACTTCATAGGATGATGTCATCTCTAATGCCTTTAAATTGACCTTTGGACACAGAAAGAAAACTATGGACCCACAGTCTCTCATTAGAAACTCTTGGGGGTCAGATGTGTATTAGAATTAAGAATTTTTTGGATTTTAGAAAAGACAGTCTGTGTGATAACATATATATGTAACACCCCAGACTCTGAAACATTTTCTGAAGCAAAATATACATACACAATTACATTAAATGGGCCAAATAGAGATTATAAATAGTATCACCAAGTAAGGTATGGTTTTGTTGCCAAGGTTTTATGAGAAAACCTTTTGAGTGTTGGAATTTAGGATAAAGAATAGTAATAAGTAGTGCTGTCTTAAGAAGCAGCAATTTTCACTGTAAGAGTACTGCCTCCTTTTTTTTTTTAATATTACTCAGTAGTTTATTAGAAATTTTTCTTGCAAAACCTTAGTTACCCAAATAATTTGGGAATTAGAAACCTGTCATCTATTGCAGCAGGCTGCTCTCAATAACAGATTGGCTATAAAACCTTTTGTGGTTTTTAAGTTTGACTGTAGGTTATCATATTCCAGTGCTGCTGTTTTGTCTTATAGCTCTTTGGTTGTTGGTACCTAAGCTCATCCATCAGTGGTCTGTTCCTTGGTAGTGCTTATTTTGTATGGAAATAGACAGCTGATTGGCTTCATTGTTCTACCTTGCTTTGTAATGAGCTATGTTCATGCTACAAAGGGACAGTTATTAACTAGCACTTTTGAAAATAGGTAGTGTTCTACCAAGAGGATCCGTCAGACAAAGCCTCTTTTTCTTAAGGTGTAATAATTCTGGAGCAGAAAAACAGCATTAACCTCTGCCTTAAATTTCATCATTTTCCAGGGCTACTGTAAATAGTAACAGGTGGAGATTTCTCCTTGCATTTTTACCTGAGTATGTAGTATATCAGAAAAAAGTCTAAGCGATCACTGCACATGGTTTTGGTTTGGCAGTTGAGAATTAAATCGTACTCACTAGTCGCTTGGATTCCAGATCCTTTTACATAGGAATACTGTCGGACTTAGGTTTATCTTTTAGTGCTGATGTTGTGAAGCATAACTTTTATTGCTCTTACCTGAGTCATTTTATACTCTGAAAGAAAACAGACACAACTCATAGTCACAATGATATGTAAGTATCCTTCAGCTTCCAACCTGATTGAATGTACTGTGCTTGGTTGGTCAGTATTTGCAAAGTGTGGGGTATTTTTTCAGTTGGTGAAAGCAGTGTACAAGTCTTGGAAGGCTTATGTTTGCTTATGAAACTGTAGCCAGAGGGCAGGATAAATTTGTTTCAAAATACTTTTGATTGCTTGAGAATTCACAGGCAGTAAGCTTTGAATTGTACAAGTACTTTTTAGAATAAAAGGTTTTCTAAAGGAATGCATTGTAAACTAAAAATAGGGTAGCACGTTTCATATCAATAAAATCCTGACACCCAGATAATACATTTAAAGTGTTTTACTTATTTTGATCTTTCCATGAAGGCCAGTGTTTGGGCTTACATGGGCAGTGAGATGCTACTCTGAGAGTTGTGTTTTAAGACCCTTTCTTTCTTCCACTGTGTTGTCAACCCACCTCAAAAGGAGATTTTCTTGAAAGAAATGAGCCAGTTTTTGTCCTCACTAAAAGTTCTTTGTAATTCATTTTATTTTGTTTGGTTTGAAATTCATTTCAGAGTCAGAACTAGGATTAGTTATCAGAGAGTAAAAGCAGTCTCCCCCAACTCACACACACACACTCGCTCTCTCTCCCTTATTTTCAGAACTTGCATAGTTGGTTCTCTTTTCAAAAAGAGTGTCCTATGCAGCACAGCCTTCCTGGTGATATAATGCACTTTTCTACCACGCATGTCAGTGAAAGCTTACTGTAGTCTGACTTGATATTTAGAGAGGAAGATGCCAGTTGGGAAGAAGCCTGTCAGTTTGTCGAGCCTGCCCATGACAGGCGGGGTGCGGAGGAGCTTCTCTGGTGACGAAGAGTTGACTCCTCCTCCATATCGAACCCTTCCAGCACAGACAGCCCCGGAGGCCTTCCCACCTCCCAGCACTAGCCGAGAGTTCAGTCCCAGCCTCAAAACAGGTAATGAGTCACATCAGCACCCCAGGTACTGCAGAGGGTCAAAGCACTGGGCAGGGTGGTGGGAGACGAAGCGTGGTCTGGCATGCCAGGTGCTGACTCATTAATTTTTTTTTTCTTTCAACCAAAAA